AGGCTTGTTGGGGGAAGGGAAGAAAAGCAGGAGCAAAAAAGTGTCTGGAGCCACTAGACCACACTCCCCAGCAGAATCTGGAACTAAACCCATTATTCCCAAGTCTCAACATTACTTTGCTATCTAGGAAATCGCTGTGAAACCCACTGAAAGTATCTCTCTCCAATTCCCATCTACTGGCAGTCCCACACAGAAGATAAACTGCCTTCTATTGCTATCAGCTGTGTTAGCTCAAGTGGTAGAGAGCTGTGCCATGAACCAAAAGATCCCAAATATGCTGTTGACTGATGTGGGGGGTAAATCTGTTCCCACATAATGGAATTTGTTTTTGAAATTTAAGTTTAAAAAAAAAGACTTTAAATAAACAGTAAAGTAGGAAAGTCAAGCACTCAGAAGTTAGAAAATGTTAAAATTAAGTTTGCCTGTGCAGCCTTAATTCAGCTTCCTTGTGCATATGTTACGGTAGAGTTTAATTATGTGTTCATGTATATTTTTTCCCTACAGAACTCCTGCCTCATTAAGTTCACAGGACAAACTGTGCTGTAGGAATGAATCAAGGTTGTGTACTGAGTGAGACTGTTGTAGGACTGCTGCCTCATTTGTTGCAGAAGTTGGAAGATGTGTAGTGAATGAGGCAGAGAACTACAGGAAGAAAAAGATGATCTTCTCATTAGGGCAGCTGAATAACATTATGGGAACTGAATTCTATCCCTGACACTGCCACAGAGTTCCTATGTGATGCTACGTATGTCACTTAAAGAAAATTTTTCACAGGTGGTCACTAATTGTGCATTCCTCATTTTCTAGGTACCTGGCTTGACATGTGGGTTCATTTGCGTTAAGTGCTAGGCGCATGCAACTGAAGTCAATGGGCACTGTACTTTCAACATATAAAGTGCTATAAAATGCTACATACTCTAAAAACCAAGCTTCAGGCTTCTCAAATTCAGCACTCAAAATTAACTGACACTTCTAACAATTTTGAATTTAAGCTTTGTACCTCAGTTCTCTATCTGGAAACTCGGGATATCATCTCCTTGCCTCTCAGGGGATGTTGAAGATTAATTAATTAATGTTCATAAAGAACTAAGATACCTCAATGAGAAAAATACAGAAAACACATGAGCAAATTAATAATTCTGTTCAAATTCTGCACTGAGTAGTGTGCAGTAAATAATGATGAGGATAGAAAGAAATAGTGAATAGTGAACCATCTATCCTGTCCACTGAATGAGGCAGGGATCCCATGGGAAAAAGTGATAACATAATTAAAGACTGTCAGAGAACATATGCACACCAGGGCCTGAATTAAGGTTGCCTGTGGGCAACCCTAACTGGCATTTACCAATTTTTGAATGCTTGACTTTGCAACCTTCTTCTAATGTAGGGTTTTTAATATAATATGGATTTACAGTACATATTTTTATACAGTGAAATACTGCAGTTCAGACAGCATCTGGATAAGGACTGAAATATGCTGATAAACTAAAGAAAAATGGAAGGACAGGGATTTTTCTAAATTTTAGTGATTTAATAGTTCCACTGGAGAGTAAGTAACAATCAGTTGGTTACCTTAATGTAATAATTCCACTAGGGAGGATATCCGTCTCAACTACTGGCAGGAAGCTTTTAAATTCATAGTTTATAATTAATTACAGTGCTAGTTAACTTCTATTAACATTTAGAAAGGACAAGCAAGAAATTATGATGTTTAGAATGGATTTTGTTGTAGAGCCCTAAGTATGAACTAGTAACTATAGAACAGTGGTTCTCAAACTATGGGGCACACCTGGGAATGTATCACGGGAGGTGCAAGCTGTGAGCACTTTTTTTTTTTTTGAATTCCAGCTGTCAACCCCAGGTGGCTGGGGCTTGGGCAGCAGGGCCATGCACAACCAGGAGGCCAGGGGAGGGGATAAAGAGGACAGCCGGAGGCCCACCATCCCAGGTCTCTCCTCATCTCCCTCCCCCAATCCCTCACCAGGATGTAATCTGGGATCTCCTCCCCACACCACCACCACCAATCCTTCACCTGGAGACGGTGGCAGGGCTCTGGCTATCAGCCCTGGGACAGCAGCAGCGCAGAAGTAAGGTTGGCAATGGGGAGCTAAGTCTGCTGTGAAAAGTGATATTGACAAATAGCACTTTTAACATTGCCACCCTTACTTCTGCGCTGCTGCTGGCACAATGCTGCCTTCAGAGCTGGGCACCTGGCCAGAGGTATATGTACTTGTGTGGCAGGGGCCGTAAATGAGTACAGACACAAAGAAAGGGGACTCAATCAAATAAGTTTGAGAACCACTGCTATAGAAGTTACCTGAGGCGAAGGTCCTCCCATATTTTCAGCAATCCACATAGCATTACTAGTTCATAGTATTTTTTCCAACATTCAACAGCTTCTTCTGCTGTAGGTTCTTCTTTAATATTACTTTGGTACTGAATCAATTCCAAATGCATGTTTTTATACTTCTCCAGATTTTTTCTAAAACGTTGACCAATTGGAGCAGGAATAGTTCCATTCTCAATATCACACCAACTGTGAAAATAAAATAAAAATGTTATACTTCTGTTATAGGGCGTACAGGCCCCATGCTGGCAAGGAGGGGGTTAATGAAGGACTCTGGACCCAACTGGCCCCACGTCATTACACCTGCAGCAGATGTCAGGTATGGAGAGGGGAGTTAAAAGAAGTCCCAGCTCAGTGCGGGGCTGATCAGGAAAGAAAGCAGAGCTCTGCTTCTTTGCCAAGGAAAGCCTGGTTTCAGCCAAGAGTCAGATACAGCTTGCTGTCTGGATGAGCCTCCCAAAGGATGAGATGACCAGGCCAAGTAAGACTGACCAAAAGACCTGGCTGCATGGAGACATGCCCTAAATCAGGAGTCTCAAACACGTGGGCTGCATGTTATTTCCTGCGGCCCTCCAAAAGCGCCAACTTCGCCAGCAGCCAAGCTCCCTTCTCCCCCCTCGTTCCCCTCCCCCCCCCGCGCGCTGGGTCCCTGTTCCTCCGCCTACCTCCCAGCACTTCCTTGGCGGCACTTAGGACTTTCCGGGGGGGGGCAGGGGGAGGAGCAGGGACGCGGTGCACTCGGGGGCGGAGTTGGGGCAGGGACTTTGGGGAAGAAGTTGGAATGGGGGCGGGGAAGGGGAGGGAACAGGTGGGGTAGGGGTGGGGCTGCTTGAGACCCCTGTGATAAACTGTTTGTTGGGGTACCGGACATCATCGCCCAGGGATCTCTCTGTTAAGGGTTATGGACACCTAGGGATCCCCCCCATTGCCCAGGGGTCTCTCTCTTAGGGGTGCTGGGCACCAAGGGGTCCCCCCCACATTACCATGAGGTCTCTCTGTTAGGAGTGCTGGGCACCCAGAGGTCCCCTCCCCATTGCCCAGGGTTCTTTCTGTTGGGACACTGCACAGTGTCTGTGATGAAGTGGAAATTTTCTATAACATTTTTATAATTCCTAGGCGAGCCTCAGTTTCCCTCTCGACTTTGCGCTGTGACCAGGGGGGTGGAAAGGGTTACACAGTGCAGGAGAGAGTCTACGCCTATGGCGGGCCACAGGAAACAGCCTGCAGGCCACGTGTTTGAGACTCCTGGTGTAGATCATCAGCAGTGTTACTGACCACATAAGGAATAGTTACAGGTGTTTATATTTATTAAAACTCCTCTTCGCATGACAGTTTTAAAAAAGTTAATACATTGACTTTTAATAGCGTACTATATTACTCTTCATTTTTTTTTTCATTTTTGACTATACTTTTGTATCGTTGTATGAAAAGGTTTCAGTGATGTGGCCCTCAGGCCAATGTACTAGTCCTCATGTGGTCCTCGTGGTGAATTGAGTTTGAGATTCCTGCCCTAAATAGAAGGGCAGGATCCTGCTGAAGATTCCTTGGATAACTCTGTTTTTGAGTTCATAGCATTCCTTTATTTTTGGACTTTAATACCCCAGAAAGGGTAGGACTCAAGTGTGCTTTAGCTGGAGGGCTAAAGCACCAATGCAGTAGACCCTGTGAGAGGTGGCAACTGACTGTTGGAGACCCTATGATAAGGTGAATAGTGCTCCAATGTACCATCAGGAGATCCCTCACAGCTTCTTTTATATTTTTTTATTTATATAATTTAAAAAAAACCCACCACCCCACTCTCACACCCCTGACTCTCTTTTTTGGGATAATATACTTACAGTTTAATTCTCTCTTCTACCAGTGCCGTATAGGTCTCACAACTTTCATCGTCATCCCAGTCCCTCCAAAGGAAGTCGTAGAAAAACCTAAAAGATATATTGACATTACAGGGGGTCCCCAGTATACGTCAGGGTTGCGTTCTTGAAAAGGGCAATGGATACTGAAACGACAGATACCAGGGAATTTAATTTTTCCCCATAAGAAAAAATTGCCTGCCCCCCCACTCCTGCCCCGCCTCTTCCCGCCCACTTCTGCCCCCTCCTCCGAGCGCACCCCATCCCTGCTCCTCCTCCTCCCTCCCGAACCCCATGGGAAGCACCCAAAGAAAAGCCCTGCAAAAGGTGAAGCGACAGCTATGTGGATCCGAACACGTTCCCCTATTGGTGAGCGACGGATTCAAGAAATGACGGACAAGGGGGAGACTTATACCAGGGACGCCCCCCCCGTATGATACTGCCACCACATTTGTCCTTGTGTGAGAAGCAGGAAAAAAAAAAAAGCTTCCATATGTTTTGGCAATCAACCTCATAACTTTTTACTGTGGTGATCTCAAGTTGTGAAAAACATTTTCACTTCATAAAAAACGGCAACACCGCAAATCTTATTTCCCCACAAGAAAAATCTGCTTAATTTCTGCAGTTTGATTTCTCTCTTCACCTCACCAGCAACCTTAGGTAAAATCTCAACAGCACGTCTATAAGTTCATCTATATGGTTGTTTATGGCTGTCCAAAAGAAAAAATGTAGTTACCTACCCTTCATTTTTCCTTCTCTGAAATGGGCACCTGGTGCTCCATAATTTGTTACAACTAGGTTACTCTTCCTCATCTTCCAAGCCTTGTGACTAAAAAAAAATAAACTCCACTAGCTTCACAATGTAGTGCTGGCAATTAGAACTGATAAGAGAAGTGATTGCCTCTCTCTAACTCCCCAATCAACTGCTCATGCTAAAATGATAAATTATGAATTCCGATTATAATACAGGGAAATGGAAGAAACTGCTTACAGCAAAGAAAGATCCTAATATGAGGGAATCACAAGATTTCTCCATCTCTCCCTGCAGGAATATTCCATAAAGAGAAAAAAGGAAGAACTGAGACATTTCCCCTCCAACTGGAAACTAATGCAAATTAGGTGACAACCTGGGAGAGATCTCACAGAGCACCAGATGTCCACTTAAGAGAAGGAAAAGTTACATGTAGGTAGGTAAATTTAACCTGTCTTCATCATGGGCACCTAGTGCTCAGTAATCCATTACAACTGGGAAGTTGCCAGTAAAACGTATCTACATAAACAGGAGGGAAATTTGAAACATCAAGAGTGAACCACAAGGAAAAAACAACTGCTTGAGGATAGGTTTATTTTGTTTTACTTTTCTTCTGCCTTCCCTCAGCATGTGAAGTGGTTTATTGAAAGAAAGCCAAGAGAGAGCCTGCAGCACCTTCTGCCCAAAAGTTATATCAAAGACAAAACATCTATTTAAAACAATAAAGGAATGCACTGAAGTCCACATAGCTATACTACAAAATTACTTCAAAGCACTATGCTATTCTGTCCAGGAAATGGACATATGCCTGAACTTTTACAGGAGGAGGGGGATCTTTTATGAACAAACTGTAGGCCTGACAAACTCCTTAATTTATCCATCTAGGACTAGTGCCTATAATGCTTTTGTTGCAATCTTCCTTAGGTCATCCATCTAATATTAAAATTGCATCCAATTTTCTTCAAGAATTAGTTTTATGTAAATAGAATTTGAATATCCCAACATCTAAAAGCAAGTAACTGATTCTCTTAGTGGTGAAAGAACTTAGAATACAAGGAAAGCAAATAGATTACAATGTTCAAGTGGAAACTATAATTTCAGGGGACACAATTCTGGTGCAGGCCTGAAAATCATTTCATCTGCAAAAAAAACTGCACAGAAAGATTCCAGATGGATAAAGCCCCCCAAACTTTAGACTTGATTACCCTTGCGGTCCCCTCTAACCCTATGCCTCTATCAACTAACTCTCCTGGCCAATGTAATTGCGAACAGGTAAAATGTTTTAATAAGTATGGGGAAAACTCCCCCATTTGTTTAGGAAAAATTAGATTATCTGAAACATTAAACTATTCTACTAGTCTCCTAACAGCATCTCTGCAGAGAGACAGCTTTAAGGAATTGGGAAATGTGAGGGTGTTGCAAAAAATGCTAGAATTGGAAGGAATATGCTACAAGTAGCCTAACATTGAGACCTGAACCTTCAGGAAGATTGTATCATAGTTTGAGCAAGTGCCTATCTAGAAGGAACTCCAATATATGTCCTTTCAAGAGCACCATGAGAATCAAGTTCTCAAAATCCTTTGAAGTTGCCAGATTTGTGGACAATTTCTAGATTTGACTAGGATGTTCCATGAGCTCTCCTGAATATTCATGCTCTAGAAGGCAAAAACTTCAATTTCCAGGCCAAACACTTCATGTGCTGAGGTCTAGAAGTTTGAGATGATCCTGAAATATGTTTCCACTTGACCAGGAAGTTTGAAGTGCTTTTTTGGTCACGTACACTAAGGTATCTCACTGAAGGCCTGAATTAACCTTTTCAAAAGACACAGCAACCCCCAATTTACTGGGCTATCCATCTTAACTGTTGTAAAAATTGCTGTTTCTGCAGCTATAGCTTTTGCTGCTGCCTCGGTTTGACATGCTCCTTGAAGAGACAGAGGAATGCTTTAAAAAAGAAATGATAGAAAGATTTTATAAAGGGGGAGGGAAAGCTGAGATGAACATGCTCTGACCTTAAAGCCTTACTGAAGTGGTTTTAAAGCTGTGCAACAGAACTCTCCTTTCTTAATGCTAACATTTTAGCACAGGATTACAGCCATTTGGATTGTCCATTGAAGCTGTCAAGCTAATGGTGTAAGCAACTAGCCACTCAGCAATATCACTTGAATGAAAATCGTTGTCAGGCTCAGTAAAGTGGCAGGCTAGACCAGTTTGGAACACATGAAAGGAAACTGGAAGAGAGAAGCTCAGTCACATCCCTATAGATTCCAGCTATTTTGATTGTCTGTTATTGGTATAGGCAGGATGCTTGCAGTAGGGGCTAGGATGCTCTGCTGCACTCATAAGAAAAGTCAGCAACAGTGGTAAAAAGGCAAGCTGAGTTAGGCCACGCTGAGCTAAGGGAGGCCAGACCGAAAACAGGTCTACTGACAGGCTACCAATATGGCCTAGATCACTCTGCATCCTGCAAAATACAAAAATCAAATCAAATTGGGGGCAGGGGAAGAGAATGCAGTGGTAATACAAAGAACCATACTAGGCCATACTGTCACCCTGGCTTTCTCAAGTGTGGTAACAAAGGGCTAGCGGGCATCAGCAGGCTGGACCAGGCCACTCTACTGACTTGCTGAGGAAAAGACAGCAGAAGGAGTGGTAATAGGGTGTAGGGAAATGCAGGCTATAGAATATGCTTCACAAATCCATATCTGCACAACCCTCAGGCTGCCCTAATCTAATGGTAACTGATACCAAATACAGAGAATCTGAAACATTTGAGTGCTATGTTGTTGGTTTTTTTTTTTAAAATGATGTTTTTATTTTCAGAGCCTGTAGAAGTCAGAGCTTAAGCACAAGAAAAATTGTCTAACGCTCTAGACAGTTGGGCCAAAAACACCAGGTACATTGGCAAACTGAAAGCAGTAGGCAAGTCATGCTCCCAGGTTGTTCCTGACCCTGCTGACTTACCAGCCTCTTGGGAACATTCCTAGAACCCATACTTCACCACAGTCAGATGAGAAAAATAAAAAGCTAGGGGCCTCCGGCTTGTTGCTTCCAAAATGCCAGGTCCTGTTGCAGAATTTCCATTCCAACCAGCTTAAGGCTTGCCTGTCGGATGTCTGTAGAGTGGAGTGAGTAGGTGGTGATCACAGCTCAGCCTCCTACACTGCCATGTTTCCTCCTCAGTAATAGCTTTCCCGTACACTCCTCTTCTCAAAAATCCTCTAAGACCTAGTCTACACTACAAACTTACATTGGTATAACTACATCGCTCAGGAGTGTGAAAAATCCATGCCCCCGAGCAATGCAGTTATACCAACCTAACCCCTGTTATAGATAGCGCTAGCTTGATGGGAGAACTTCTCCTGTCTACCTAGCTTCCACCTCTCATGGAAGTAGAGTTTCTCCCGTCAGCATAATCTCTTCACTAAAGCGCTACAATGGTGCAGCTGCACTGGTGTAGCTGTGCCACTGCAGCTTTTTAAGTGTAGACCTGCCCTAACCTATTAGGGGCACCAAGAAGAGGAAGAAAAAAGAAATATGCACAATGGAAGTAACTCCTGCTTAGAGATGAGTCCTAAGAGAACCTCCAGGCTCTTTGAGCAGAGGCAAAACACTGGGGTATTAGAGAGGCAATCACTACGCCAGGGGTCGGCAACCTACAGCATGCATGCCAAAGGCAGCACGCGAGCCAATTTTTCCAGCCCCGCTCAGCCCGCTGCCAGCCTGGATGAACGGAACCCTGGCTGGCAGCAGGCTGAGCGGGTCCAGCAGCCAGGACGCCGGCAGGCAGGAGCCGGCGGGTCTGGGGTTCCTGACGCCGGCCCCTTGCCAGCCAGGGTCCGGCCATCGGCCCCGCTCAGTCTGCTGCGGCCTGGGATACCAGCCGCCGGCCCCGCTCACCTCGCTGCTGGTCTGGGGTTCCAGCCACCCGGCCCCCTGTATTTATGTGCCCGTGCTTAATTTGTGTTTTCGATGATTTACCTTCTAAAAAAATCTCCCATGTCTCGCACCCCCAGGTTAAGAACCACTGCACTAAATTGATAAGATCTGCATTTTAATTTAATTTTAAATGAAGCTTCTTAAACATCTAAAAACCTTGTTTACTTTAAATACAACAATAGTTTAGTTATATAATACAGAGTTATAGAGAGAGACCTTCTAAAAACATTAAAATGTATTACTGGCACGCAAAACCTTAAATTAGAGTGAATAAATGAAGACTCGGCACACCACTTCTGAAATGTTGCCAACCCCTGCACTACATTGTGAAGCTAGAAAGAAATAGCAAAATATTTTCAAGTTGAAATGACTCATTGAAAGAAATCCTTTTCTGCAAACAGTTTGTTTCTACACATTAACACGCATTTTGTCAGAAAATTCCTGACTGGCTCTATTCAAGATACAGTACTGCAAACCTTAAAAACACCATATGGTTGGCGCATTAAGATAAAAGGGTCAACACCTTTTAGAGTAAAAAAAGCAAAAGTGTTAAGACAAAGCACCAGAATCCAGATAGGGCTGCTGAACCTCAGGTCCAAAAGCTGTTCCCTCCTGGACTAAGTAAATCCAATCAAATTGCAAGGATTTTTTGGGCCATTAACTGGACTGCATCAAAATACTTTTTCATCCTTACCACTTTTTAAACTGAGACTTTTGTTTGTGAATACTCTTACACTATTAATGAAGCAAAGTAAATCTTTCTAATCTTTCTAATTTAGGTACAGTTCCTCAATTAACATTTTAGCATCTCTGAATGGCAAAAATACAGGGGAAAAAGCTAAATACCTCACAACGTCCAAAGCCTGGGCAATATCAAATACTACCATATCCTGCCCCTCGACAGGGTAGATTTCCAGCAAAGGTACACAATGGTCCAGTTCATCCAAAACATTATCAACAAGCTCTCTTGGAATATTTGCAATATTAGAGGAAAATGGTTCAGCAACAGATATAGAAGCTTTCAAGTGAGATGAGGTGCTCTGAGATGGTTTGCAAGTAACCTAAGACATAAGAAATATATAGTTACAAAATGTTTTTAAAATGTCTATTTCTTTGTTAGTATGATCCTGCAATCCTGCCACACACACAGTTCTTATTAACTTTCATGGGAGTGCCACCTGTAGAACTGATCCATACTAAAAATAATTAGTGAAAATGACATCTTCCTTTAATTTTGCCTTAAAGCAGTAGTATGATTAAGAGAAAATGATTAGTTTGCTACAGAATAGGTAAACTGAAAATTATGAGTTATTTTTTAATTTAAACACTACAGACAGCTATAGAGGCCAGTATTTAAGCCTATTTATCACTCAGGGTGAGAATTTGCAATTTCATATTCTACTTATCTAGTATGTTAAGCTCAGTTTGAGGTTTTGTTATTTACTAGGTAATCTTTGATCTGTTTGCTATCACTTATAATCACTTAAAATCTATCTTTTCGTAGTTAATAAACATATTTTATGTTTTAATCCAAACCAGTGTGCGTTTGACTAAGGTGTCTGGGGAAAATCTCAGCTTGATTACCACAACTATGCATGGTCCTCTTCACATTGGAGTTAAGCCCATATATAATGGCCAGATTCGACCAGGGCAGAACGAACAGTACTGCTCTGGGGTCTTAGGCTGGGAGGCTAGTGATTAGAGAGCCTGCATGTGACTGCAGCTGGGTGTGTCCCTACCTGTGTGAATACTGGTGAAAAGTGCAAGCCTGGAGGGCTTTGCAACTTGTCACGGCAACACAGTGTGAAAGGGAGCTGGTGGGTCAGAGAGCTCAGTGATATCCCAGTTCTAGGTGGCACCCCGGGGAGGAACCCGTCATAGGAATCCTGTGGGGGGAAAATATAGCATGTAATCTCATAATTAAAGACTACTGTAATGTTTACAGGAGCAGAAGTTAAGATTGTAAAAGCGACCTTCATTTTGGCATTTCCAGACTCTGGAATACTGAATTTTTAACCTTAACTTCAGTAAAAAAAATTTTAAAACTACATTAAAAAATAGAAAATAATTTGTGTGTGACTATACATCACATGTCACAGAAAGGAAAAGTTTAGTTAAAAAAAGAATTGATAGTTTAATCCTGTCCCTACCATTATCCTGTTTCCTTGAATTTGCAGGTTGGAGGATATAGTTATTCTTTTTTTCCAGTTCTCAAGGACCAATGTGCAATAACAAGCAGTTGAACCAGTCTCAGAAGAAGCACGAAGGCTGGGTCTACACTACCCGCCTGAATCGGCGGGTAGAAATCGACCTCTCGGGGATCGATTTATCGCGCCCCGTGGGGACGCGACAATCGATCCCCGAATCGACGCTCTTACTCCACCAGCGGAGGTGGGAGTAAGCGCTGTCGACGGGAAGCCGCAGAGGCGTATTTTGCCGCCGTCCTCACAGCGGGGTAAGTCGGCTGCGATACGTCGAATTCAGCTACGCTATTCGCGCAGCTGAATTTGCGTATCTTAAATCGACCCCCCCCCCCCCCGTAGTGCAGATGTAGTCTAAGAGATCATATTGCATACCAGGATCCCCAAGCAGTGGAGTAATTATGTCCATAAAGTTGGGTGAAGAACAAAGACACTACTCCACAGCTAGATAGCAGCTCAACTCCCATGAGGTTCTGTGTAGTCATCAGTCAGGAGAAGTTCATTAACTTTCAGCAAGAGCTGTACACATCTCCAGAATGAAACTGGGGAAAGAGGAAAATTGTTTCCTCTAATTCACTTGTTTACCAAAATCTCATTCCAAGATTTTAGCTTCTTTGTGGGACTTCCCTGGCATAAGGATTCCAAATCAGTGGGGATGAAGGGTAGGGTCATGAGATCTGAGGACCAAAGCATCTCTAAGTCCACTTTCCATAAGGTAAATAACCTCTTTTCCAATGCTTGTCCATAAGGATCCCACACTGCAGGTGAGTGACCAACAGTTACCTCTCAAAAAAGCTGGCTGTAGGATTTCTATCCAAGATGCCACAATGGAATAATGATAGGTATGTGAACTAATCAAACTCCAACTAGCTTCTCTACAAATCTCAGGAATATGGAATGGCAGAGTATACAAAGATGGTATTTTCTACAATCTGACTACCATACACAATAGCTCAAAGTATGTCCTTTTCTGCACTTGAAAATGTTAGTGAATGCATCTAGTTCCAAAAGCATGCACAAATGGAGGACCTAAAAAACGGTTACTCACCTCTTGTAACTGTTGTTCTTCAAGAGGTAGTGTTCATGTCCATTCCAATCAGGTGTGTGCGCACGCACGTGCACAATGGCCGGGTGATTTTTCCCAGCATCTGTCAGGTCAGTCTGGGCGCCCCCTGGAGTCATGCCTTCATGGTGCTCAATATAGGGCCCTGCCGACTCGCCACCCCTTCAGTTCCTTCTTGCTGGCTAGAGGGGAAGGAGGGTGGGTCCTGGAATGGACGTGAACAACGCATCTCAAAGAATAACAGTTACAAGAAGGTAGTAATAGTTTTTTCTTCTTCGAGTGCTTGTTCATGTCCATTCTAATCAGGTGACTCCCAAGCCCAAGTTCAGGAGGCGGGGTCAGAGTTGTCCACTGATTGGAGTACTGTTCATCCGAAAGCCGCATCATCTCTGGCCTGTTGGGTAATCGCATAGTGCATGGAGAAAGTGTGTATGGAGGACCACATCGCCGCCCTGCAGATTTCCTGAGTAGAGACCTGGGCCAGGAACGCTGTAGATGAAGCCTGTGCCCTGGTAGAGTGTGCAGTAATCGGAGGTGCAGGAGCACCTGCTAGGTTGTAGCACTCACGAATATGGAGACGCTATCCATAACGAGATAAGTTGGGATGACACAGGCTGACCTTTCATCCTGTCCACCACTGCCATGAATAACTGGACGGATCTCCTGAATGGTTTTGTTCTCTCGATGTAAAAGGCCAGCGCCCTGTGGACATCCAGAGAGTGGAGCCTCTGCTCCCTGCCGCTGGAATGAAGCTTAGGGTAGAAGACCAAGAGAGAGATGTCCTGGTTGATGTGAAACTGCAACACAACCTTCGAGAAGAAAGCAGGATAGGGCTTGAGCTGAACCTTGTCCTTATAAAACATGGTGTAGGGAGGGTCTGATGTTAGGGCCCTGAGCTCAGATACCCTCCTGGCCAAGATCATCGCTACCAGGAATGTCACCTTATAAGAGAGGTAGAGCAGGGAGCATGTTGCTAAAGGTTCAAAGGGGGGCCCCCCCATGAGCCTACAGAGGACCAAGTTGAGGTCCCAGACAGGGACAGGCTAACAGACAATAGGGTATAGCCTGTCTATCCCTTTTAGGAATCAGCTGACCATGGAGTTAAACACAGAGCGGCCCTGCACGCACAGGTGGAAGGCCGAGATGGCGGCTAAGTGCACCCTTATTGAAGGCCAGAATCCCTCCTGCTTCAGATGGAGGAGGTAGTCCAGAATTAGTGGCACTGAAGCTAATGTCGGGGGCGAATGGCGCTGCGCCGACCAGATTGAAAATCTCTTCCACTTGGCAGGGTATATGGCTCTCAGAGGGTTTCCTACTGCCCAGGAGGACCTGTCTAACCTGGTCTGAACAGGAAAGCTCCAACGGACTTAACCATGGAACTTCCACGCCGTGAGATGAAGCGACTGGAGGTTCATGTGTTGGAGACGCCCATGATCTTGTGTAAGAAGGTCCGGGAAGAGCAGCAAGGTAATCGGGGCTCTCACGGACATGTCTAGGAGAGTTGTGTACCAGTGCTGATGGGGCCAGGCCGATGTTATCAGTATGACCTGAGCTCCATCTCTGAGGATCTTGAGAAGCACCTTGTGAATGAGTGGTATGGATGGAAAGGCGTATAGGAGAGAACCTCCCCAATGGAGGAACACATCCGCGCTGGAGCCTGGGCTGGGATTCTGGAAGGAGCAGAACCGCTGGCACTTCCTGTTGCGTCACGTGGCAAAAAGGTCTAACCGGGCAAAACCCCACCTCTGGAAGATTGAAATTGCGACGTCTGGGCGAAGGGCCCACTCATGGCTGTGAAATGACTTGCTGAGGTGGTCTACCAGCTCGTTCTGTACCCCGGGGAGGTACGACATCAGATGTACTGAATGTTCTACACAGAAGTCCCAAAGCATGAGGACTTCCTTGCACAGGGGAGAGGAGCATGCACCCCCCCGTTGATATAGAACACTTCTGTTGTATTGTCAGTCATGATTGATACACATTGTCCAGTTAGGTAAGGACGGAAGGTCTGACATGCTAGGCGTACCACTCTCAGCTCTGACATTGATGGGGAGACCCAGATCTGCTTGAGACCAGAGGCCTTGAGTTCTGCAGTCTCCCAGATGAGCTCCACAGCCCATCTGATGCATCCATCACCAGTGACAGAGGCGGCTGTGGGGCAGCAAAGGAAACCCCTGAGCACACCTCCTGAACATCAATCCACCACCGGAGGGAGTCGAAGACTGGGCGAGGCAGGATCACAATCCTGTGCAAACTGCCCTGGGCTGGCCGATATACTGACACAAGCCACGACTGAAGCGGTCGAAGCCTGAGTCTGGCATGCTGCACCACATAGGTACAGGCAGCCATGTGTCCGAGAAGTTTCAGGCAGTTCCTCGCTGTAGTGGTGGGGAACTGTCTGAGGCCTCGAATTATATCGTCGAGGGCCTGAAACCTTGCCTCGGGCAGGTATGTCCTAGCTTGGGTTGAGTCCAGTGCTGCCCCTATGAACTCTATCCTCTGGACGGGAGACAGTGTCAATTTTGCTTCGTTTAGAAGTAGACCAGGCTGTCTAAGGTGGCTCTGATGAATCTGACCTGAGCTTCCACTTTGGTCCTGGTGCGGCCTTTGATCAGCCAGTCGTCGAGATAAAGAAATACCTGTACTTGGTGCCTTCACAAGAACGCGGCGAAGACTGCCATGCACTTGGTGAAGACTTGAGGTGCTGCTGACAGGCCGAACAGGAGGACAGTAAATTGGTAGTGGGTACTGTTGACCACAAACCTGAGGTACTTCCTGTGGGGCTGAGTAATTGTGATATGAAAATGTGTCCCCTTCAAGTCGAGGGCGGTATACTAGTCTGCTGGATCTAGTGAGGGGATGATGGATGCCAAGGAGACCATGCGGAACCTGAGTTTCTTTATGAGCTTGTTGAGTTCTCACAGGTCCAGGATAAGCCTGAGGCCGCCTTTGGCTTTCGGTATTAGGAAATACCGGGAATAAAAGCCCTCGCCGCGTGTTCCTGAGGAACCTCTTCCAGTGCCCCTAACGATAGGAGCAACTGCACCTCCTGGATAAGGAGCTGCTCATGAGAAGGGTCCCTGAAGAGGGACTGGGAAGGAGAGTGGAAGGGCGGGAGGGCACAGAATTGGATGGAGTATCCCGTCTCTACCATGTGGAGCACCCAGCGGTCCGAAGTGCAGGACCATGCATGCTAGAAAGGGGACAGTCAGGAGAGAGAGGTATGGTGGGGTAGATCCAGTCTCTGATCTGGTGCGCCGTCCTCAACCGCACCGTCAAAAGGCTGGTTAAGTGCCAGAAGGCAGTTTGGGTTGGCCAGAGCCCTGGCCTGAAGACGGATGTGGTCTCCTCCTGTTCCTCCTCTGAGAACCGTCCTGGCAGTTCTGGTGATGGAATCTCGGCAGAGGTTGCGGTCTGAAGTGTCTCCGCTATGTGGCGGGAGTGTGCAGATCCAAAGACTTGAGGGTGGCTCGTGAGTCTTTCAGGCTGTATAGCCTCTTGCCTGTCTTTTCAGAAAAAAAGTCACACCCTCAAATGGGAGGTTCTGAATAGTCTACTGGACCTCATAAGGCAGCCCCAAGACTTGGAGCTCCTTCTCATGGCCACCCCAGTAGCCATAACCCTAGTGGCAGCATCTGCACTGTCCAATGCGGCCTGGAGGGAAGCCCAGGCGACTAGCTTCCCCTCCTCCACCAAGACCGAGAACTTGGCTCAGGAGTCTGAAGGGAGGAGCTCCGTAAATTTGGCCATCGCCGCAAGGTGTTATACTAATACCTGCTGACGATGGCCTGCTGGTTCGAAATACGGAGCTGCAGACCCCCAGTAGAATAGACCTTTCTCCAGACAAGGTCTAGTCGCTTAGCCTCCCTGTTTTTTGGGGAGGGCCCTTGGAAATCCTGTCTCACATGGGTTAGCAGCGTCCACAAGAGAGTCGGGGTGAGTGGGAGTATAAATGTTCGTACCCTCTGGAGGGCACGAAATAACGTCTCTCATTGCGCGTGGCAGTGGGCAGCAAGGAAGCTAGGTCTGCCACAGGATCTTGGTAGTGTCCACAATAGTCTTAATCAGTGGTAGGGCAATACGAGAAGGTCCTGAGGGGGTGAGGATGTCCACCATGGGATCAGCCTCCTCGGCCTTAATGCCCAGACTCTTGAGCAGCCCTTCGCAGCAATTCTGCAGCACCCTGTTGTCCTCAAGCATTAGGGCTACGGCTGTACCCACCAATGCCTCATCTGGCAACAATGAGAAGAAAGCACTTATAAGAAGCGGATGCTCCCTGCCATCCAGCCCCAGGAGATCCCGCGACTTTCAGGGCAGCATCGGTGCTGATGGGGCGCTCGCCGGCACCGGGGCTGTAGACTTCGAACCCGATGTTGGCGCTACCATCATTAAGACCCAGGGAACCATTGATGGAGCCAGGGCCGATTCCCCCTGTCTGCGCCGACGAAGGTGGCGGGCCCATCGCTGGTATCTGTGCTGGAGCTGTCAGTGCCTGCGCCATAATCAGCGCCGAAGTCAGGTGGCTCAGCGGTGCCGATGCTGTGGCTGGAGGTGTTGGCATATGGGCTGGCGCTGAGGCAAGCTGCATAGACTATGGCGGGATGAAGGTGGCTGAGGCCACAGAAGATGCAGCAGAGCCTTGGTGAAAGGCCCAGGAAGTCCAGAATGGCCACGGTGGTGGATTCTGCCACTGCAGTGGCCAAACCCGGGGCTCTCTCCTGTCTCTCCCGGACCTCGATCTTTGGCTCCTACTTCTCCTGGATTGGTAGGAGTCAGACTCTGACTTCCAAGGTCTCTAAGACTGAAGACCAGGGAGGAGCTGAGCCTTGGTGCCTCGAGTGTCAAGAGCTCGGGGAGCAGGTAGGCTCTCTGTTCGAGTGGGCCGGTGCTGAGGGACATGGAGAGGGGGAGCGCTTGGACATCATAGCTGGCTTCCCTCTTGAGTGCGCCAGGGCGTTGGGCCGCCAACACTGGAGGTTCTTCCCTCATCGGGGACGAGAATGGCACCGTAAGGTACAACAGGTCCCGAGCAGCTTCGAAAGCTTCTGGCATCTAAGGGAGCTGTAGCTGCTGGCCTCTAGGGACCGGTGCCTGTGGGGAACTCAACTGCCTTGCCTGGGCAGGAGTCGACGCGGCCCCAGTGGGGGGATCGGAGCTGTGGCCCACCTGGAGTCTCACTTCTCTGGACTTAGCCGGAGGTGACCGACTGTCCAGCTTCTTTTTCTTCTGAGGCAACGTTGAGTGGGATCAGTGCCTGCTCTCAGCCGGGCCTCATGAGGTGCCAGGCTGGGACCGAGTGTCCCAGGACCAGTCTTTTCTCGGAGCCAAGCTTAACAACTGTGCCGGGGCACTCTGCGTCAAGGACGACATGTTAGGAGCCAGGTCCCCTGATCCTGGGTCGGAATGAAGGCGTACAGCTGCCTCCATGAGGATCACCTTAAGCCCCTGTTCCCTTTCTTTAAGAATTCTAGGGCAGAACTCGCAGCAGATCTTACAATGATCCTTTTTGTAACCCTCCCCTAGGCACCGTAAACACGAGGAGTGTGGATCACTTTTCAGCATGCGCTTCACCCAGGCCACACACTTTTTAAACCCCAGGGACCGCAGCATACTACGGCTCCGGGGAGTCAGAATGGGAGGGACCCCCAACAACTCTAATAATAAATAAGGTAACTATATACAGAGAACTGTAGAATGCGCTTGCTAAGCAAGGGCTACAGGAAGTTCTAGCCAACCGTCACTGGCGGTAAGAAGGAACTGAAGGGTTGGCAGGGCCCTATATTGAGTGCGATGAAGGCGTGACTCCAGGGGGTGCCCAGACCGACTCGACAGGTGCTGCTATGGGAAAAATCTTCTGTGCATGCGCACACGCCTGACTGGAATGGACATGAACAAGCACTCAAAGAAGAATAGTTAAATTCCCGTCACTGTATGAAGATCTGAAAACAAAGGTGTTTGAGAACTTCCTAGAAACATTTGAAAAAACTCTGATGATTAGTGTGCAAGATGCTGTGAGCCTTGCTTATTTTTCCATTAAACTTTAAAAACCGAAATGCTTTATTTTAATAACTACTGTATATACTCAATCATCAGCAGGTTTGTTTATAAGCCGACCCCCCAAGATTGATAAGTAAAAATGGAAAAAAATTTATAACCTGTTCATAAGCCACCCCTATAATTCAGGGGTCAGCAAACTTCGGCTCCCGAGTCATGAGGGTAAGTCGCTGGGGGGTGGAAATGGTTTGTTTACCTCGAGCGTCCGCAGGCATGGAGGTAAACAGTGTGTCCTGGCGTGCCAGCTGCTTACCCTGATGGGCCAGGACAGCAACTGGTGGGGAAGTTTTTTGGGGAGGGGGGAGAAGCTGGGAGTCAGGGGAGTGACCCCTGTTACCCCTCCCCACATGACCTCACCCCTAGTCCGGGACCCACACCCTCTCCCCATCCCATCCCTTATCTGGGGAGGGCCAGGGGAGGATGTCTCTGACCTGGCTAGAGCTGCTCCTGCAGGCTGGACAGTACGGCCCCAGCCTGCTCCAGTGGGCCAGACCGGGCAATGCGGCCGCATGATGTTCCAGTGGGCTGGGCCGGGTGGCACAGCCACACCCTGCTTCGGCAGGCCGGGCGGTGCAGCCACAGCCTGCTCTGGGGGGCAGGGCCGAGCGGCATGGCTGCAGCCTGCCAGCCCTGGAGCTGCAGCTGCTTTGGAGGCTGGGGCGAGAGCAGCATGGCCAGAAGCAGAGAGAATCTGGCCCCGCCTCTTCCCTTCTGTTTCTACTGGCTGTACTGCCTCTCCTTGCTCCCTCTGTTGGGGGGAAGGGCTGTGTCCCACCTCTCCCTCTCTATACCCGTTCATAAGCCGACCCCCTTCTCTGGTGCTTCCCTTTTTTACTAAAAAAAAATTTGGCTTATGAACGAGTATGTACAGTAACTAGAATGAAAAAATAAAAAGGAAAATTACTTCAACAAGTATTCCAACAAAAGGTATAAGGACATTTTCAGAACTGATGAAGAAAAGCTCTGGATTAGTCTTCCAGACTCCAAGCCATTTTTCTTTCATCTTCAGTTTCTCCAGAAGATATTTACTCATTGCTTTATTGGCATCTTCTGCCTATTACATGAACAAAGAGAAAAAATTCTCACCTATCTTAAAGGTACTGCACTTTTAATTAAAAATAAATTCATATAAAACTTCACATTAATCCATAAAACATGATACATCACTCTAAGGCAATGGTTCCGAAAGTGGGGTTTGCAGAATGTTACAGGGGGGTTGCCAGAAAAATTTCCCTAAGGGTGGGCAGAGGACCCCGGGCATTGGAGGCAGCAGGTGGGACCCAATTGCAGGGCAGACAGCCCAAGCCCCAGGAAGAGAAGGGCTGGGCAGTTGGGGCTGGCAGCCCGAGCCCTGCCCCCATCAGTGGGGGAGCCAGCAGTGGTTCTGGACTTCCAAGAGCTAGGCAGAGTAAATCAAGCGCATCCATCACACTGAGGAAACTTAAACTTAAATCCCTGGAAATATTTCTTTTTAGGAGGGGGTCATGAGATTTCACAATTTAGTGAAAGGGGTTTGCGGGCTGTTAAAGTTTGGGAACCACTGCTCTAAGAGCAGCAGAGAAGGAGGATATAATGGGGAGGAGGGAGAAAGAAAGAAAATAATGGGGGGAGGGGGGAAGAGAGTACACTCTCTTACAGGAAAGAGAAAAAGGCAAAAAAAGGAGTGGAACCGGGGGGGGGGGGGGAATACTTTAAAAAAGGTAACGGACAATGTTAAAATTAAACAATACACAATTACTTTAAATCAGAGTGCTGTGACTCTATTGACAAATAACCAAATTCCTATATTTTATTACGCTGCTACTCTTAAGGGAAAGAGGATGGATTTTAAATAGCTTTCCAGCTTATCAGAGGCAGCCATTATAACTAAGGCTTGGTCCACACTGGGGCGGGGGATCGATCTAGGAAACGCAACTTCAGCTACGAGAATAGCGTAGCTGAAGTAGACATTTCCTAGATCGAACTAAGTTTACTTACTGCGGGTCCACGCAGCGCAGGCAAGCTCCCCTGTCGACAGCGCTTCCTCCTCTCGGCGAGCAGGAGTTCCGCAGTCGATGGGGGAGCGCTTCTGGGATCGATTTATCGCATCCAGATGAGACACGATAAATCGATCCCAGAAGATCGATCTCTACCCGCCGAATCAGGCGGGTAGTGTGGACCTAGCCTAAGAAAGGAGGTAACACTATCTCAAAACAGCAGAGTGGGGAATCACTGAATAGCTTTTCAATTAATTGTCACGTTAAGTTTTAGAATATTGAAGCTTATCAAATGACAATACATGGGAAGATTAAGACTGTACATACTATGAACCACCATCCTTTTTTTAATAAATGCCAGTTGAGTGACACATGACATAGTTTAGGGTGGCGAGGTTATTTCATATCTGTGAGGTGTGCAACTTTTCCCAGAGGTTGGGAATTTATTTTATTTTACAGAGAAAAAAAATGTCAATTTCTTTCACTAACACCATTGTGAAGTAGACTTGACACAGCTACTAAATAACATAAGAGACAAGGTGGGTGCCATACTATCGTTTATTGGACCAAATTCTGTTGACAAGAGATACAAGCTCTCAAGTTACACCAAGCTACTCTGCAGGACCTGTGTAAGCTGGAAAGCATGTCTCTCTCACCAACAGAATCTGGTTCAATAAAAGGTCCCCCATCTTAGTCTCTCTCAGATCCTGGAACTAACAGGCCCAGTAAACACCATGGCACTCTGCAAGGGTGTTCTCTAACCTTACAGATGCCGCTTCTTGGATTTTTATTTTTCTTCCCAGCCCCTCCCCTTTCCATCTGCCATTTTCTCATCCCTTCCCTTCGTTCCGCTTGCTCTCCCCTCCCATTACATTCTTTACTCCGCCTCCCGGGGGCAGCGTCCGGAGGGCATAATCACACGCTCCCTTATGTGGATCTTCTCGTTGGCTGGAGCTGTTTACCGTCAGAGGGCGGGCCCGCGTGGGGCTGAGCGCGCCTCGCCTTTTCGGATGCCTTGTAGAGCTCCCGCCCCAGAAAGGAACCCCTCCCCTCGCAGGCGGCTCCAGGGAACTCCCCACCTGCCCCGCCAGTGCTGCGCTCAAGGGTACGGGCCCCGCTCACCTTGCAGCCCCGCAGCAGCCTGTCGCAGTACAAGGCCACCTTGTCCCGCCCTGGCACGGCCCCCAGGTGGGACGGGTACTGGGCTGGCAATGGGTCGGCCTCCGCCTCTTCTTCGCCCTGGCTGGAAAGAAGCGGCCGCCGGCTCGGCCCAGCGCTGACCGAGGGCCCGGCAGGCCATGAGTGGGAGCTCTCACCCGAAGCCGGTTCTATCTCGGCCGCCCCTTCCTCGGGGCCACTCGAGGCCATTGCTTCAGACAGCCACGCGCCTGGCGGCCCCGGGCCGTTACCCGCCGAGCCAGAACTACAGCCAATGAGCGGCCGGCGCGGGACACCCAGCCAATGGGGGACCTGGCTCGTGACCACCGACCGTTAGCATGAATCCGCCTCTTGTGCTCTGTCTGCTCTTCTCTCCAAACTAACCGCGCGCACGAGCGAGGTTCCTCATGCGCGTGACGGGGCGGGGCTTCAATGGCTCTTCTTTACGTCTCTGATTTCCTATCTCGTGCCCCTCCCCGTCGCAGTACGGGGGCGGGGCCGGGTCTTGCTCTCATCCGGGGAACTGGGGGTCCCGGGGGTTCAACCACCTTCCCTCTTTTTGGCCCCCTCCCACTGATGAGAGCCTTCCACATAAGCCGCTCCCCCCCACGGTCCCTTCTATTTGTTTGTGGCAGGAGTGTCCCCCTTGTTCTGGCGGCTGATTGCGTGGCCTGGTGGCTGCTCAGCCGCCATGAAGCCCTTAGGGCTGGGTAGCAGAAGGGTTTTGTTTGTAACCTGATTTACACTCTGAGTTGCTGCCCCCCACATGAGGTGACTCCCTTGGGTCCGAGGGGAGGGGGTAGATTGGAACACCAGGTGCCAGTATGCACTGCTTCATTGCCCACCAAGCAAAGCAGCCTGCTGGGGGGCCTTCTCCCAGCATGCCCTCTCCTCCCCTCTACAGCCTGAGCCAAGTGGCTTATGCGGGTGCCAAGGCCCAGTGTGCTGCACTGCACCTTGCCTGTGGGACCCAGCACACGTTCCTCTGTCACCACCAAAGCAGGGTGGCAATTTCCATATATTCCTTAGGAATGTATAGTCATCTCTTCAGTGCAAACAAGTACAGAAATCCATGTGAAGACCTATTAACATCTCTATTTCAGAACAACATTCTTGGATGACAGCAAACGTCAGCTGCATGTGCGCCTCCTGTCTAGCATCACCACTTCTTGATAAATATTTTCTGGGTCCTTCATCTCCCCATACTAGCGGAAATCACTGAAAACCAAGAGCAGCCTGGAATAGTGCTTAAGGGCTAGACACAGCTTGTGGGTTATATTTGACTTATAAGGTTTTTTTGACCATCCCTGTTTCATAGACTCTTCAGAAGCTGACAACTTCTTAGACTCAGCCCTATCTAAAGTAGTAATGTAAAAGGAGAACTCTCAGAAATTATCTGACATCATTTTCTTGTTTAATTAACTGTCTCCTCATTTGGACTAACTAACTCCTGTTTACACCCTTGAACCTAAATAAATTGGCAATACTGTCAGGGAAAGATGAGTAAAACATTGTGGGAGAACATCTGCCATCTCACACGCCCATCTGGAAGGACATTTTGTTAGACTGTATTTGGGGTCAGTATGGGAAAAATATTAGCTGTCAAGTATAATAATGTACTTCAGGGGAAAACTTAAGATTTCAGTCATGCATTTGTCCAAACTTAGTCATCCTGGACTTTCTGTCTGAATATCCAGATGTTACTAAAGTAAAACCTAGCCATGTGAACTCAACTGATGAAGAGCAAATAGCTACTTTTGCCATATTGCCCTGTACTTGTGTATCTGAAAGAGTGACGTTTATTTGTTGCAAATCCTGTGCCCCTGTATTTGGGATCTGTATCAGTAAGACCCTTCCATCCTGGCTCATTTTGCTGACCTCAGACCTGGTAACTCATTCAGTCTAGCTCTTTCAGATAAATCTGAATCACATTGGAGGCCAGGGAGAGTAGCTGGAACTGACTGGTGCCCTGAAGAAAGAGGTGGGGGCAAAGAGTGGAGAAAGACCTTTAAATATTTCCTCAAATGACAGCAAGATGAAAAAAAAAGGCTCTGGGTGATTATGAATATGTCTATGTTCAGTGAGTAAGAGGAATTATTTTTTTCTCATTTGTTCTTGTTTATTCTACTTTGCCAGCAAAAATTGAAGGGCGTAGCCTGAAAACACCCTCAGGGAGCAAAACTCATTGAATCCAGTTTTGCACAATATATATCCAGATTCTTCCTTACTATAAAAAGACTCATGGGAGCTTCTGTGTCATGGAACAGAAGTTGAATATTCTTGTTTGCGTGGTTTTGTCTGCTTGTGTTGTTGTTTGCTTGAATTTTGCTGTATATAACCTCAAATTCCATTAGTAACATGGGAAGAAGTAAGAGGAGAAACAATGCCAAGGGAAGCAGCTGGAGATTGTGAATCCCATGTATAAATGAAGGGGGGAAATCTTGGGGGACCCACTCCTGAAAACAATTTGAAAAATGGATGCACACTGGAAGTGTTCTAAGACCAAAATAAATGACACCCTTTCCTTTTCTGGTTTTCCTTTTTCTTTTAGTTTAATTTCCTTAGATCAGATGATTAGGTCATTCTCAGTTCTGTTGCTCCTTCCCAATGCCTGAATTAACTGTTGTAGAAGCAGTACTTTGTCTTTCTGAGGATAAGAGGCACTCTTTCTTTTGGGAGGATTTTATCTAGCTTTCCCTTCCTGATTTCTAAATGCTTTTTCTCTGAAATCTCTTTTCTGTATCCTCTGCCTAGTTTTCTGCTTTATCTATTTGCTCATCCATTTTCTTTCTTTTACCTCTCGTAGCTTTCCTTCCCTTTTTTTCCCTCTATACTTGTCTGTGTGGGTTGCAAACCTGTTCTCATTTGCCATGGCTGGTCTTCTGCTGATGCGGATTAGCTCAACCATTTGCAACTATTCTTCCTCAGATGCCAAGAATACCCCATAAATCATTGCCCGGATCCCAGCAGCCTCTCCTTTGCAACTCTGTGGGAGCTTGTGCAAAGGATTCTGTGGCACATCTCAGGAAGACTGTTTGTGAGTGACTGAATGCAGGGTCACAGTAACTGAAAAAATATTGGGAATCTCTGATGAATTGTTCTCATCTATATGCCAAACAATTTGGCACCTGAAAGAGACAGAAACGGGAATGTGTTTATGGAGGATTCTGGGTTATGAAAAAATAGATTGAGTGACAAGCAGCAAATAGAAAAGCAACTCTAGACAGTGCTGATCAAGTGTGTGACAAAAAAAATTATTGGAATAGATGAGATGAACTAGGAAAAGGCAAACGCAAATATCCAAAAAGTTAATAGACTTTATTTAAGAGAGAGAAAGATGAAGAAACCACTGGTATAACTGTAGAAGAATTACACTTACTACCTTTATAGAACCCCCAAAATAAGTGTAGAAACTCTTGAAATTCATGATAGAATTGACTTTTGATGCTTGATAAACCTTTAATATCTTACAAAGCCATAACATTTAATTTTGCTCCTCTAACATGCATATCAAGGGGGGGTTAATTTTAAGTGTATATAAATATAAAAGGGGGGCTTATGCATTCAAAAATATACACATACAAAATTGCAGACACAAATTTAAGTGGCTGGATTGAGGCCCGGTTGAAAATGTGGCCCTAGATGTTTAATACTGTTTTCCTATAATTACTGTATCAGGATTTTTGAAGCCCTGGTGCCTTTTTAAACTATAAAGTTAAAGGAACTTTGGTGATGAAACCTGAGTTGCCAAAAGTCAGTAAACCATTCAAATGGACTGTATGGTAAACCAACCTAAATTCTGATGTTTAACTTCTTGATAGCAAACAGCTGCAGTTCAGAAGAGTTGAAAATTATTATTTTAAAATGACATATTAGTGTGTGAAGCAAAGGTGACCTCAAAGGCTGAAGTGCTTAATTAATGCTGCAGTCGCCCCTGCTCAGATTAAAAACTGTTAAGTGAATTAACCTCTTTAATAAAATAAATCTCTTGTGCTCCAAGCTGTAGCAAATTAGTAACTGTTAAAAGAAGAGCAGAGGTTTCGTTATACTTCCAGAATGTCAATATAAACTAACAATTTATAAACACTTTTTATAAACAGGTAGACAAGCCATACATTGAAAGATTGACTTTTTTCAGTGTGATTACAATGAAAATATCATAATATTTTATTCTATATTAAAACACAAAAATGGATATGCTATTATTTAAAGATAAAGAAAAAATAAAACTAAGATGCAGAAATTAGAATCTCTTTTCCAGTTTGATTCACTATATTTTTCTGTGTACTTTAGAGATCTTGTCAAGCTCTTATATCTGCTATTCTCATGTTGAACTGAGGAGCAGAGGTGAAAAGAATGGCAGAATGCTGATGCTGGCACAGGGTAAATGTGGTTTGAAAGTAGAAAATTATCACTTTGTTCTACCTCCAAACTTTTTTTATATATACATTGTGATATCTCCTCCTTAAATAGCTTGTTACTGACCCTTCAAAAGCAATGAAGATGAAGTTGAAACATTTAGAAGGAAACAGTCTATTTTTAATGCATTTTTAGAGATTTTTTTGCTTTCCATTGTTTGCAATATCCACTTAGAAGTTTAAAAATATCATTTCCTTCCCTAACAAAGTTATCCTTTTCCATTTGACACATGTTGATTTTTCTCCATGCTTAATAATGGTAGTAATAATAGTAATTATTAATAATATTTAGCATTCACATAGCTCTTTTCATGTTCAAAGTTAAGAGGACAAATTGTCCTATTAAAAAAAAAAAACTGAACACACACACATACACGCACATACACAAGGATACAAGAATTTCTGGGAGTTTCCACACACACTGCATATCCAACACATTGTTCCTTCACAGGGCAGAATTTAGCCATCTAGCCCCTGCAGAACGAGAACTGGCCTCTTAAATCTCCAGATCCTGGGAGATCCATAGATGACAGAACCATCCACATCGTGGTCTTTTACCTTCGCACGGCTCCCCAACCACTATGGGAACATAATTCTACAAGAGCCATGATTCCATGGGATCCACCACTAGACCCCAATCAATTTAGGTTAACAGCAAGTAATAGAACGCTAACAAAATCAACATTATTTTGTTCTGGGATCCTCAGTAGGGTTGGGGGTCATGGTACCTTGGAGAGCAGCCATGCTCCTGTCTACACTCCTTTCCACTCACGGATTGTAATCCTCCTTATGCTTAGAGCCCCTTCCCCTGGATCCATGGAGAGGCTTTCACTGGGTCAAGGAAAAGCAGGAGGGGATGATGCCATGGAGCTGGCACTCACTCAGCTACTCCCCGGCCAGATCACCAGAGCTGGATCCTCTCCAGAAGTAGAGAGGACCGTCTGGCCCATACTACTACTTTCTATTTGATTAGTAAGCCCTGACAAAGAGCTCAGCCATGCAGAAGACACAGAA